AAAAAAAAAAAAAAAAAAAAAAAAAAAAAAAAAAAAGGAGAGAGAGAAGAAAAAAAAAGGACAAGAAAGAAAAGGAGACAGGAAAGAGAGAAAAAAAATAAACAAAATAAAAGGAAGAGAAACACACAGAAAAAAAAAATGTCGTTAACATGCCTTCATAATATTACATCAGTCAAGTGTGTTAAGGTTTACAAAAACCAGAATGACTTCTGGTGAAGGGCATGGCCTCTCCAGAGATCTGGGCTCACGTTCCTGCTTTGCCGTGAGCACAGCACGTGCCTGAGCACAGACCGATGCTTAGCCTCGTAAAGACGCAGCCTCCTCAGGTGCAGAACAGAGGGTGGGCTTTGATGCCTCTACCTTGGCACTCGTCACACCATAGGTGTTTCGGGCAAATGTGTTCAAAGGATGAATGGAAGGAAAGGGACAGAACCTGGGTCCCCTATGTCCGGGGAGGCTTGTGGAGACAGAAGCACAAGAGACCAGAGAATTCACCGCTGAGGGTTCCGAGCCTCAAGGTTCCCTGGTGTTCAGACGGGTAACTAAGGGCCAAGGGATCAGGTGGGTCCTTGGCCACCTCTTCTTTTGTGGGGGTTGACAGCATAGCACCCTGGTACCATACTGGAGAAATTTTTAAGACTGAGGGAGAGCTGGGGCGGAGGCTCTTTGTGGGGAGGAGAGAAGAGAGACCACGGGCCATGCTTAGCCTTTGGATACTTACAAGTTTGCAAGAGTACACGTTTGTATTCTACCTTCATTTTCTACTTACTAGCTTAGCACCCTGCTTATTCTAGAAGAGCTTATCTTCCTCAACATTGAAAGGCAGCTTTGAATCCAGGTCCCACCAGTTATCAACAGTATCGTTTCAGGCAAGTCACTGAACATCCCTGTGTCCCCCTACCCCATCTATGAAACGTGGTGTGAGAATGGACTGACATAATTTATGTACAATGTCCCATCTAGTGTTTGCCTTTTATTAAGTGCCCAATAAATGGCATCAACGATGATGAGGTTAATGACAATGATGAATGCTGACACGGATCCTGCTGGGAGAGTCTCTGTGCGTGGTCTCCACCACCCTGACCAAGTTCTATGTATTTTCTAGTAGCCAGCAGAGCTCGGACCCTCAAAAATCATCTCCTGTTTCTCTCTCAAAAAGTGTTAGTTGGGGGCACCTGGGTGGCTCAGCCAGTTAAGCATCTGTCTTGAGCTCAGGTCATGACCCCAGGGTCCTGTCAGGGTCCCTACTCAGTGGGGAGTCTGCTTCTCCCTCTCCTTCCTTCTCCTCCCCTGCCCTCAGCACTCTCCGTGCGCGCTCTTTCTCTCTCAAATAAATAAGATCTTTTAAAAATTAGTGTTGGTTGCTCTCACAGCTCTGGTTGCTCATTCTGTGTGACTGTGAAAGTTGGTCCTCAGTATCTTTTCTGATGCTTGTTTCTGGGTCTGCTTTCCGCTTTGGCTTTAACTGGCAAGAACCTTTGAAAGACGGTCTCTACACGGCTCGCTGTGCGACTCAGGACAATCCCATCCTTTCTCTAGACCTCAGAGTTTTAGGTCTATCATTTAAAAATGTCAAGGACACATTTTGTCAAGTGTAAAACAACGTATAAACATGAAGACATGGCATACCTTAGTTGTCTACTCTCCTGGCTGGAAATGGGAAGAAAGCAAAGCTAAGAAAGAGGAAAAAAAATGGAGAAAGACGGAGATGTGAATTTCCTACTCCACGGGCTATTTCCCTCTGTTGCCCAACTGCACCATTTTATTATGAGGAGCTGCAGAAGTCTCCTCGGCGCGGCAAGCCCCCGCTGTCAGGGCACAGGACGTGAGCCGAGGGGTGGGCTGGCAGAAGCAGTGGCCTGAAGTTTCGCTCAGAGCCTAAAACAAAGACGTCCGTGTCGAGCGTAGAATCGCAGCAGCGGCAGCTGCCAGCCTTCTGCTGGAGCCCACCTGAGTGGCAAGGGGGGTGTGGGGGGTGGGGGGGATGGGGGGGATTGTTCGCAGATCCTGGTGGGGAGCTACCGCACACTGACAGCACAGCATGCCACCCTTTCAGCTTTCGCCAAGGCTCGGGAGTGGGTGCGGGGTGGGAGCGCAGGGGAGAGTGCTTGGCTACAAGGCCGTTTGCGGGCAGCCAGGATGGGGAGCACTGCAGCTTTCAGACAGAGAACGAGCCTATCTGTGGAATGGCAATGCGTGCGTGCAGGGTGTGTGTGTGTCTGTGTGTGTGTGTGAGAGAGAGAGAGTGAGAAAGAGCGAGCAAGCGCGCTCTCAGCCCATAGGCCTAGAATTAGCCAACATTTGAACCATCGAATCCACTGTTTCCCAAGTGGCAGCCACATTGCCCCCCCTCCCCACACACACAAGGGACAACTTCGAATGTCCCGATGGAGGGTGCTTGGCTGGCTTCTTGTGGGTAGCAGTCAGGGATTCTGCTCAACATCCCGCAATGCCCAGGACGGCCCTACCAGAAAGAACCCTGGACACAAATGTCAGTCGTGCAACGTTAAACCCTGGCTAACCCAACTCTTTTTTCTCAAGACCGTGACTAGGCCAGGCACCTGTCTTCCAGGTCCTGGCCATCATTCTGTCTCGGCAGGGCAGCGGGTACATGTGGCTGTGTTTGAGCCTTCTCTGTCACCGGGGCTTGTGAGATGCTCTGCGTTCCAGAAAGTGGGTTTGACTCATGGAAGAATTGTGTCAACATATCTCTGCTGATTTAGAAAATTACGATAATGCACAGAAAAAAAAAAAAGAAACTAAAAATGAAAATGAAAATTAAAATTTCTAAGGGTGCCTTTTAATAGACATGGATATTTTGCTGGGCAAGAACGTATGCATGTTCCTGAAATGTCTTATCAGGGAGACACAGGGACTCCCATTCCGTGAACAGGCCCATAATAGCACCAACTGTACCAGAGACCCAGGATAACAGAAGGGACCCGTGACTGATATTTATTGAGCATCTACTGTGGGATTGGGTCTAAAAAAAGTCTGTTGTCTTGGTAGTAGCCAAAGCACCCAGTACAGACTAGATGTTAATAACGGTTTCTTCGCGAGGTTTCTTCACAGACGGCTACGCATTTAAGAGGTGAACACTTTGGGGCTTGGAGACACAGGGTGAATTTCCTAAGCTCAAAACTAATCCACGTCTATCCTTTTAAAAAATCTCTAGAGTTTCCACTACATTCCCCTGCCTCACTGCACACCTGCTGCAATTAGGTCCCACCCTCCAGAGAGTCAACTTATGGGGAGGGGGAGGTCACTCCCATGCAAGAGGAATTCTAATAAGAAATACGCTGTCGTGACAATGACAACAACTAAAGAAAAAACGTCCAGTGGAGGAGCAGAGGCCAAGGTTTTATTTTCAACAAAGAGACCAGGAAGGATCCTATAGGAGAGGTGGTATTTGAGCAGGTCCTTAAATAGCACGGAAGGTTTTATTCAGCAGAGACGGGGAAAGGGAAATCCTAGCAGAGCTGGTGGCATCCAACAAGTCTAGGGGGTGGGAGAGAGCGGGAGGATGGGTGGGTGCTCACGGAAGCACACAGGACGGCAGGGGCTTTTGTGAGAACAGAGCCCATGAGCTTTACCTCTGTCTGTGTGTCTCTCCCTCCCCCCAACCCCCGCTGACCTGCCAAGAGGTTTTGGAGCAGAAACCTGAAGGAAAGGAAGGAGTGAGCGGTGCGGATGCCTGAGAGCAAAGGAAATGTCCGTGGAAGGAAGGAAATGAGGGAGGGTCGGCACCGGTTTACCTCTGGATGTGGTCGGAGGCCACCTATAGGGGAGGTTCCAGCAGTTGGGTGCTGGCGAGTCCCTTGGAGGAAGGACTCTCGCACTCCCTGAGCACTGAGGATGTGCTCGGAACCGCAGAGCGGCTCTGCACGGGTGCCCTCGCAGCAACACGGGAACAAGTTACCGTCCCCGCCTGACTCATGTGGGGAGGGGAACCTGAGGTCTGGAAAAGATAAATCGGTGGCCCCGCACCACAAAGCTGGCAAACAGCAGAGCTAGAACTGGAATGCTCTGAAGCATTTGCAATCCAAATCGCAGGTCCAACTGAGATGTGCTGAATGAAATACACACTCACTGGATTTCAAGACTCAGTAGGAATAAAAAAAATCTAAAATATCTCCCTAATATTTATATTGATTACATGTTGAAATATTACTGTTTTGGCTGTAGTAGGTTAAATAAGATGTGTTATTAGAATTTCTTTCCTATCATTGTTTGAATGTGGCCGCTAAAGCTTTAAAATTACACACATGGACAGTGTGTCCTTTGATTGGACGGTGTGGAGCTAGGAAGAGCCTTTTCTGCTTTATGACACTGCCCGGAAAGGTCACTCATCAATCCCCACATTTTTATCAACATTGGGAGAATCCAATTCACTGTCCCCTGCAACTGTTGGGTTGAGCCACTGTCCGCTTGCCTCCTCTGCCAAAATCAATAAACAAATAGACAATAAGTATATTATAAATGCAAACTCCCCTGCTCAAGGGCCACAGCCCCAAATCCTCTGAGCTAGAGAGTCCTGGACATCTACTACCATGCCTTTGAGAACTGCTGTTTTCCCAATATTCATAAAGGGAACTTCCTGCCACTGGGGTTTAGAGCCTGTGAAAGAGAGGCTGGTTCTATTCCAAGCGTTGCCCTTGACCTCCTGTGACCCTGAGTGAGTCACAGGCCTGCTGCTGCTAGATGCCCTGGTGGATGGGGAGCTGCTGATGGGGGCTGTGGCCTGGAGAGCATGTGGGCCCTTGGCTGAACTGTGCTATATACAAGCCTGGAGTGTTATTAAGGGAATCGGGTTCATCCCACACAGAGCACACTCTCTAACTGTTGCCATTGTAAATT